TCTTTGTAACTATTTTTTTCTGTCTCTTAATACTTTACTTAGCTTTTGGAAGTCATCTTTCCCTATCACAATGTTTTAGTGTAGCGCTTTCTGTCCTCTGTTAAACACTTCCCAGATATTTAAATATTAGTTCTTGTTTCATATCTTTGTTTCTAGCGAACTTTTCCTGTTTCCTAATACTTTGCTTAAATTTTGGAAGACATCTTCGTAGGTCGCATTTTCCGTCCTCTGTTAAAACACTTAAGTAATAATAATCAACCAGGCTACGTCGTTAGCCTTTATTCCACGTTTTGTTTATTCAGTTTAATAATTTTCATTTCAATTTCTACTTAACGTTTTTAAATTAGGTATTGCAGCAATATTTAAAAAAATTGCAGTTCAACGAACGTTTCTTAATGATAAAAATAACATTGCCGCTAGCCTCTCAGTGCTACTGACCATTCCTTGCATCTCTCTGTTTGATGGAGGCTTCAGAATTCAATCGAATTTCGTGGATTCTAACGACGAATTTTTTCTGTTTCTTAATAATTTGCTAAGCTTTTGGAGGTATTTATCCCAATGTGCTTTCGGTTTTCAGTTTCTCACCTTTTGTCCTCTGTTAAAACACTTCCCAGATATTTAAATTGTTGTTTTTATTTGATTTTGGTATCTCCAATTTGTAATTTGCGTACTATTTTGTCCCGTTTACTCAATGGAATGCATTCTCTTTTCTTGTAATTGAGCTTTAGTCCTTTCTTCTCGCTTTCCTTTACTAACTTTTAGTACTTTTTCATTTTGCGTTTGTTATCAACATCGCTTTATCAGAATATCTCATACTGATAAGACTGTGGCCGCCAATAATAAATCTTGGTAGGACGTCTAATTCTCTCAGAATCGCTTTACTATATGTATAAGTCGGGAGAGAATACAGATCCTTGTCTTACGCCCCTTTCTATTTTGCTATCTTTACAGAATACATTTTTTACCTCTATGTATGAGGTTTGCCGAGAACGTTCTGGTTTATTCGAATATCCTTCACAATGGTGAGAGGTGTAAATTGTCGCCATTTTATATTTTTAATCTAACGCAGACTCGTTTTTTTTTTTTAATTTTATTTTAACGTCTGCACAATAGAGTAGCATCAGCTGTGCATCGTCTGTGAAAAAAGAGCCCCATGACAGAATTGACTCTTCTGCATCCATCTTATTTTATAACTCTTTTACTGGAATATATATTGCAGCAATATTTAAAGAATTTGCTGTTCATCGAACGTTTCTTAATGACAAAAATAACATTGCCGCAAGCCTCTCATTGCTACTGATCATGTCTTGCATCTCTGTGTCTGATGGGGCTTCAGAATTCAACAGAATTTCGTGGATTCCAAACACACGCTGTTATCATTTTATTTCAATTCTCTGAACTATGTGGCATGGCTATTTCCGTCCTTATATCACGTCCAAATATCACGATCGTTTCTCTCATAAGATTGGAAATTTTAGCTTGATTACCCCGGTAATATCACTCTAGAGTTAGTCGTTGCAAGTTCAAATTCTCGCCGATAATTTTTCATTCCTATTGCTCTAGGGAAAAGTGTGGAACAGTTTTTTCATCATGCAGATATGTGTGAATAGACATGCAGCCGGGGACCCGTAACCATACTAGGTTATGTAGCTTGAGTGAAGAAACACTCCGAATTCACTCCCACAACCAAGTCATGGGCAATCATGGCCGAGTAAGACTTATTATTTTCAATTTTTCTCTGTATAATTTATTTCTACATATGCTCTATTTATAGAGAATATGTGTGCTCAATATAAACGTATGATGACTGGCAGTTTCAAGTCTTACCTATATATATATATATATATATATTAACTGATTTAAAAATATGATTCCTTCGCTACAATTAGATTTTGATTAATTTAAAAGCACTAGTTCTGTTTCATTTTCAAGCGAATTTTGGAATAATATTCCAAAATTAGCTTGAAAATGAAAAAGAACTAGTGCTTTTAATTTAATTAAATAATTGAATTTGAAGTTGTTAGTTTCTGTTTTTGAAACATAGTAATTCCTGTGTAGTGAAAGAACCATATTTTTAAATCAGTTAATTTATAATATTTATGTTCTGTAAATTTACATTGATCACTCTTTTGTAAAAATAAAAATACCAATAAGAACACCGGATTATATATCTTATTGTTATTTCTTTTACCTAAAAAATAAATAAATATATATAGTCATCCACAAAAAAACAAAAAAACAAACTGAAATAGACGTACGATTGCTCTCTTCAAACCGGGATTGAAACCAAACTGACTTGATATCAGTCAAATATCTGACCCTAAGGCTATCGTCCTACTGCAGAGTAGGAGGGTATTTTAACGTTTTTCTCTATACGAAATACGCTAACGTATATATATATATATATATATATATATATATATATATATATATATATATATATATATATATATATATATATATATATGTTACATCTCTCTGACAATAGCTCAATTAGGTCTCATTTACACACACACGGAGACCTTCCAAACATACTTAAAGGCAATACAAATGTAATAAACTCATCCACATATAAAAAAGGCTAACAATAATGGAATCATTAAAAAAGAAAAAGCCAAAACTCAATATCATCAAATATGAGTACGGCCATAATGAGCTGATCGTGTTTGGAAAATGAAAACATGTCTATAACTCCAGATACATATATTAAATACCTATACATTCAGTTAAAAGTAAAAAATAAAATCATCTTTGATAATGTCTAACAGAATAGTTGAAAGCGCTCGGATATACAGAATATTTTATGTCCAGAAAAGAAAAAGACTATATGAACACAAGAAAAATTAAATAAAGAACTTAACCGTGGTATCTTCTGAGGCAAGTGCTAAACCCTCTTTTTGGATATTAGTAACTTTTTCTTTTCTTTTCTTTTTTTTTGGTCTAAGTGTGTGTTTTTGCTTTCCATGTCGATAGTTGTTAAAGTTCTCAGAATAAATCTGTAGAGAAGACATATTCAATAAAATAGACAAATGAAAATAGTACTTAGTCCTTGCCGACGCCTTTCGTCATTCGATTTTAGCAAAGCAAGTGATGATAAACAAATTGAAATTTTTGAATCTCATGGAACTACACAACAGTTCTGTATTGTTTATCATCACTTGCACTATCCAGCCGGGCTAAACCATAAATTTAACAATATAGATAGTACTAATATATAACACTACAAATCAAAACCTACCCACATTTCTCACCCACACAAGACAGACATGCTTACGGAGGTGTTGAGGCCTCACATTATGCACACACCCACACGAGCATACACACTTACACGCATCATACTCACTCACTCCCTAATGAGCCAAATGATAACACACACCCACAGTAATACACACGCTTACATATCATACCTCCTCACCCCTAAGAACCAAATAACATACACACAAACACTAAACAGAGACACATCCCCTCTCCAGGAACCAATAAAACTGTCAAACTGATCAAGGGGATTCAGAGCAGCATGGATCCATCCAGCTCTTATCTCAAATAACAACTTAAAAGAGACTGTTTGACCAACACAAGGAATGTTAAAAGATTCAGGTTAAAAAGATAAAAAAAATACAAATGAAAACTAAAGACAAAAGTTCATTTTCTCCATCAAGACATTCATTTCTGTAGTTCACTGCTACCAGCAAGCAGAAATATTTCTTCTCCTGATGATGGTCATGTTGGCCGAAACTAGTCAAGGAATCTAAATGAAATAATAATAGTCGAGGAATCTAAATGACTTAATAATAAAAAAAAAACAATACTAAGAAACTCGGCCGAAAATAAAAAACGAAAGAATATTAATCTACAACCCAGTGTGTCTGAAGATTTTAATTTTTAATATTTGTTATTGTTCAATATATATATATATATATATATATATATATATATATATATATATATGACGCGTATATTTTGGCAGCAAGTTTTCATTCAGATATGTCTCATTAAATAATTTAGACAAGTTTTGTCTACGTATCCTTAATAGAATCCTTTCATATTTACGGCCGAGTTTCTTAGTATCGTTATTAAATAAGGAAAGAAAATTACAGTGTTGATGTACATCCATTTCATTCCCGAGTACATTCGACATTACTATAATGTCATCTTCAGGGATTTTTTTTTTTGCTAAGACAGAATTGCTGTGTTCATCTGAAAGTTAATTTTTTTAATTGTGAAGTGAAAAACGCTAAACTTATGTACAGTACAATTTTTACATTTCATGATGCAAACATACACGTGCAGTAACGCCAAAGAATGTGACTAATTTATTGAGATGTCTATTAAAAAAAACAAACTATTTAATTATGAATAAATGTATGGCCGAAAGCTCTTGGACAGAAAGAACAATTGCACAGTTTTTATATAATTAATTATCCGAAAAGAAAAAAAATAGTATATCGCATGAAAAATTGTATAAAAAACTAAATCTAAGCACCTTTATCTGTCGTATTCAATGGAATGTATATATATATATATATATATATATATATATATATATATATATATGTAAATATAAAAGTGAACATTGAAGTCGACTCTTAGAGGCGACAGACTGTTTCATGCTAGACGCAATCGTCAGGCCACCAGTCTCTATTTTTTATATATACATACACATATATATATATATATATATATATATATATATATATATATATATAAACGTGTTTGGAAATATCCACACCTACCCCTAACCCTCACCTCACGCACACCTACACCCACCTCCAAAACACACACATATATATATATATAGAGTGATAAGAGGAAAAGGTATTCTTAGCCGACACGTTTCCTCATTTGAAGGCAAAGTAGAATTTATTTCGTTGCATGTGTTTATATAGAAAGAGCGTATATATATATATATATATATATATATATATATATATATATATATATATATATATATATATATATATATAAATGTCATTTTACTGAATACGCATATATTTTGCTTCATGCTGTCTTTGCTTCTTTTGTTTCTGTTTCGTTCGTTTTTTTCATTCGTCCGTATTTCTTTCACATTTCTTTCTTTTTTCTTTTTCTTTTTTTGGCTTCTTTCGTCGTTGCTTCGTTCATTCATTCTTTTTTTTTTTCATCGTTTTTATTTCTTTTTTGTTTTTGTTCGTTGCTTGTTTAATTTTTCACTTCATTTTTTTCATTCTCATTTGTTATTGTGTTTTTCTTTGCTTCTTTTTGACTTTTTTGTATCTTTCGTTCATTCATATTTTTTTCTGTCGTTCTTTTTTGTGTCGCTTTTGCTTCCATATTTTTCTTTTTTTTTATTTGTGCTTTATTTGATTCTTTTTGGATTTTTGCTTTTCATTCTTCCATTCGATGTTTTTTTTTTTCGTTTACTTTGTTCCTTTTTTTATTTTATTCGTAATTTCCTTCTTTTATGTTTCTTCCTAGGATTCTTTATTTTTTTCTTTCTTTCTTTTGCTTCTTCGAATTGCGCTACTTTCATTGAATCTTTTCTTCTCTCTTTGTTTTGCTTTTTGCTTCTTTCTCACGTTCTATTTTACCTTTATCTCTCTTTTTTTCTATCTTTCTTCAATTTTCATTCAATTTTACATTTTTTTTATTACTTCTAGTTCCCCTCTACATTAGTCCTTGTCTCTTTGTCTCCTTTTTTTTTCCTTATCTTTTTCTTTTCTACTTAAGTCGTACGTCTGTCGTTTCATTATTTCGTTTTACGATAATTTCTTTCCTTCCGTTCTATTGTTTAGTCATATTTCCCTTCTTCTCTGCTGTTTTCTTTATTCGTTCTTTTCAAACTTCATAGTTGCTCTTTGTCCATCACATTTCGTCTTTAATTTCTGTACTTATTCATGAATAGAAAAAAATCTTTTCTATATCTACCTTTCGCTTCTTTATTTAATTAAAAAAAAAGAGAAACAATTCATGAAGATTGTTTATACACTTGCTAATGAATGCATCTATGTTAATGTATGTACATACTCTAATATGTCAACATTAAATATTTGTATAACATCCACCTTCCTTTGTTTCCTCTTACTCGTTACTTTTATTAATATAATAGATTTTCCATGTTAATATTTCTGTATTTTCCTGTTTCTATTTTAATCTGTATTTCTTTCCTTTGTTTCTCCTATTTAATTTCATTTTCCTTCACGTTCTGTGTCCTTTTTTTTGAAAATTTAATTCTTTAGTGCTTTTTCATGCTTCCATTCCAGCCTTTCTTATTTTGTTTCTAACTTTCAATATGCTCTTGTTTAACACGCTACTATTACTTATACGAATACACCTCTATTTGCTAAGCACTCTAAATAGTTTACACTTCGGAGAGGCTATCAGTATTTTTTCTTTATATATCGTCACTCTTGTAATGTTTTTTTTTTTTCTTAAATCTTGCTTTCACCATCTGATAAAAATAGCTGTACACGTAATGCTTTTATTTTACTTACGCTTCATGATACAATCGCTTCTTTCTTCATTCTTTTCTTTCTCTTTGTGTTCAAACTTCATTGCGCATACACATATATACGCACAGAGAAAAAACGGCACACACTCAGAAAAGACCGCACATACGCTCACAAGTGGCCTAAACTTTCTTCCTCACACCATGTGTCATATATACAAACACGGCGCCACTTTAACCGAAGGCCCCATAACATTCCGCACCAGTGAAGTGTGTGCTGAGTATAGCAAAATTTAGAAGCGTCGAAATACATCAAAATCAAGACCGGACCGAGCAAGAGTTCATTACTCTAGAGACCCTATAATGCTCAAGAGGCCATTACGTTACAAACTCACCGCTGGCTGGGGATCATAATATCACTCGAGTTTCCAGTAAAGCCCTATAGAGAAGACAGTTCTCCCTAGTGTAAGAGGCTATATAGCTAAAGTAGAAGGATGAAGAAGAAAGAAAGAAACTTTTTCGAAATCTATTCACAATACAAAGGCGGTAAAATGAGAACATGGCAGTAAAGGAGAGTAAGGTGATAAAGGAGAGTAAGGTGGTAAAAAAAGAGTAAAGCGGTAAACGGAGAGTAAAGATTTGCGGAAAGTGTAAGAAAAATAGAGGCGCGTTACAAGATGAAAATCGAGATGAAATCAAGAGAAAGATAAGGGAAAGAAAACAGGTTCAGAACGAGAAAGAAGCGGGTAAAGTATAGGAAGAAAAATGGAGGCAAAGAGATAAGGGGTAGAATAGAGAAGAACAATGCAAATAAATTGTGGTTGTACGAGGAGAGAAATCAAGTAGTGGAAAGTAATAACGAAAAGAGAAGGTGATGAAGAAAGAGACGGAAAGAATTGAAAAAAATGAGAAAATGTCCATAGATGTTATTATTAAGATAAAGAAAAAGATGTTAAAAGTGAAGGATAGAAAAGACAGCGGGAGCCAAGGAAAATGTAAAACTATCGATAGTAAAGAAGACTGTAAACTGCGACACAGTAATAAGAATAAGGTGAGTGAATTCAGAAAGCCTTGGATGTCGAAGAAAGAAGAGAAATGCGTAAAGGAGAGTAAGGTTGAAAGAAAGTCGTAAGTGAAAACGTGAAACGCAAGTGAAAAGTAAAGAATTTAGAAGTAAGAGTAAATAGGAGAGAGATGATAAACCATTATGGGAAGTAGTAAAAATGAATCAAAGGGAGTTTGTTTGTTTTTTTTAAAGAAAAGAGGAAACAATAATGATAAAACGGAGAGAAAGAATTTGTTAAAGAAATAGAAAAGATTGGAGAATAAAACTGGAGTGAGTGGCGAGAAGGAAGATAAAGGCAACTAGAAAGCAGAAAGTTGGGAAGTGAACAAGTAATAATACGAGAATAAGACAGAGAATGAAGAGCCTAATGGTAATGTTATTAGAGACTGGAAGTACGATGGTTTTACACACTTGAGATTGTCTTTGATTATCTACTAAAACCAAACAATCTAAGATGGTGTCTGGATGCTATATTTCTTTCCATAGTCAGCAGGTATATCACCTCTTCACCTTCATTCATATTGTTTTTCTTATTTCTGTCATGATTTCTAATCGTATTAGACAAATAATTTATCGCAAGAAATGCTAGGTCACTTCACATTTCTCGTATCATTATTTACATTGCGATAAGCATAGAAATTCACCATAATTATAATATATTATATAGAGTAAAAATATCTCCTAAAGTTTGTCCATTATACACTATGTCAGATTCGATACTCACTGGGTACCCCATACTTTCGGCTTTGCGCCACATCTGAGGTACGCTTGGAAAATCAGTTTACACTATGTCAGATTTTATAATGCAAGTCAACATTTTAGTAACAGACTTGCTATTAACCCAAACCAACGTTTTCAGGATATATTTATATGAAAAATGTCTCCTATATAAATTCTGACATAGAGGAATATGATAATAGTTAACAGAATTATGGGAGAGTTCCGTAGGACTTATACGAAATAGTTTCAGTAATTCCTCTCAAAAACTAATCAGCTAACAGAAAATTTTAAATTGATCACGATCACCATAATGTTACTCGTGTTTCAGTTGCATGCCATTCACGCTAGCTGCTTTTCAATCGTTTTGACGTAATAATAAGATGTGGAGAATAAAGAACATCGTGGATATGGCTGAGACACGGGAATTTAAAACGTGAAACTGAAAGCATGATAACTACTGCACAAGACCTTACCTTTGTTACCAATATCATAACATATGTACAAAACTCCAATATGTAGTATTCCGACTAACTTGATCATTGGTTGCAAAACGCTAGCTCAAAAAATAATATAAAAGGTGTCATGATAATGTTTGCCTTTATGTACATGGGTCATTGTGTTGAAAATATGGATACCAAATTATAAAAGATTAGTACGAGTATGTGTTTTGCAGATCAACTGAAAAAGTTAGAAAGTTCACAATATTCTGGGACCATAATTTTCAGACAGACAGATTGATACATCATCGTCACTTGAATGGTAAAGGTACCTAGAACTGTGATATTATTGCTGTTGCCGTACCAAATTACACAAATATAGCAAACAAGGTGATTGAGAACATTACAAACTACTCTGATTTATAAGTTGAGATGGCAAGATTGATTGGAATGCAGAATGGGAATGTCGAAGTGATCCCAGTAGTGATTAGATAATTGGAATCAATCTCATTAAAACTGTTTGACATACTTGACCAGCTGGGGAAACCATACCAATTTAGTGTCACCAAAAAATCGGCTCTTTTGGGCACTACCCATATTTTGAGGAAAATGTTGTCTAACTGAATTCCTTATTGGTAACTTGACAAATAACTTAATGTACACGGTATATTTAAAAATTTAGACTGTGTGACAGAACAGAATGATAATAATAATAATAATAATAACAACAACAACAACACCAACTATTGCCTTTGAAAATTACACGATTTTGTACGCGAATACCACATGGGAACACTCTGCCTTGAGTACATCTAGTGCTTTGTAGAGGGTGAACATTAGTATAAAAAATAGATCAACTGAATTTTTAACATGTGAAGGGGTGATATATCCTAAAAGAGGCATTCTTATTTTCGCCAGGGCTGGTACTAGCTTGTGGGGGGCACTGCAAGCAAATAAAAGATCGTATTGGAATATTGGGTTTTCCCGGTTTTGATATGCTACAGAGCAAAGGTTTCTTAGAATAATAGTCTGTCAATCTTGACGTATCTTTTCTTCGATTTCATAAGTCTGTTTTGTAAGGTTGAGTTCCTACTTTTTACAATAACCTTTTTTCTTAAGAGACAGTAGTCTTGATTATAAATAATTAATAGCATGCTTTCTATTTCTATAAATTCTTTTTTTACTTTATAGAAATATTTCGTTTACTTAAAGATATAGACATTTATTTGTAATATTATTTCTTCAAGATCTTTTCCAGTTTGAAAGGTTTATTTTTAATCATTTATCAGCCAGTCCGTTTATTGAGACCTACCCATTTATTAGATTTTCGCTTTTTTCCAACTTTGCGTTTATTAACACCCACCCTCTTAAATTTTCTGTTTTTATGCAAACTTACTTTTATTAAGAAAACGCTTTACATTTGGCGCCTGTGCATAGTTCGTTAACGATTCCACCACGCTTAAGTACCTACTTTTTCAAAGATGAGGTTAGTTTGGGTACAAGGTCAATATTATGGGGACCCTGTGCAGTAGTAATGTTCAACCAGGGGACGAATTACAACTATAAGCAAGAGGAATTTTAATTTAGGAATATCATAAAGAAATACACAACGCCAGCCGACCCGAACAAGAAAATCAAATTAATTATCTATTACAAAAAAATTTAAACAGCTAACATTATAATAAAAAGTAACAAAATACCCACAAAATCAGAACTCCAAAGAACCAACATTGTTTATGAGTTCAAGTGTTCCTTAATGAGCTGTGTTCCTGATCAAACCAAACTCATAAATAATTATATTGGTCATACTACTACGCCTGTTTAGTCGAATCACATTACACCTACCTGACCATAACACGATTAGGGCTTATTAAAACACATTCGAATACCTACCAAACACAATGTAACACATACTAGTAGAAAATACAAGTATAACAGCCTCACCCACATCCAAGATTAATAATAATAGAAAAACTAATGATAAAAAAA